CAATACCCATGGTCCTTAAACAATAGTCAGTTACAGACTCACCTTCCTTCATTTGAAGGATTTCAAAGTCTCTTCTCAAAGCTTGAAGTTGTGCACGTTTAACTCTCGAGGAGCCTTGATATCTTTTTTCTCATTAAATCCCAAATATCCTTGGAAGTATCTTTACAAAGAATAGTTTCAAGGATAGATCGATTAATGGCTTGAAACAAATAATTCTTGGCTTTCAAGTCTTTCAATTTCATCACATCAAGCTCTTTTTGTTGGGCATCTGTAAGAGCTACACCATCCCCTGGTGTTGCCACACCATCTGCAACAACCTGCCAGAACTCCTTGGATCTCAAGAGATTCTCCATCAGCATGCTCCAATGGTCGTAGTGACCATCAAAACGTGGAATGGCTGGCTGCACAAAATTTTCAGAAGTCATTGGTGGGATAATTTTTCTCTTCTCTTTTATATTTTTTTTACACTCTTGGACTACAGCCTTTTTCTTAACCTAGCTCTTGATACCACTGATAATAATCGAGAAAAGAGAATATGAAAAGGTGGTTATTTTATTCAAAATAGGAGGAGCCCTTTTAAAGGTAAGAATCATGATTCATGAGAAATCATATATCTTGAGAATTAAGAATTTTTACAGCATTAAATAAGTAGATGGATATAACATAATGTTTTTATTGCATTAAAATTTTATTTTACTCCTTACACTACAAGAAATGTTACATACAGTGACATACAAAAAATATCACTATAAGTATAATATATGTAGGTATACATAACCCCAAGCGTGTGGTTCAGCGGTAGGAGTTGATTCACACTTAAGCAAGGTCAGGAGTTCGAATCCTACCTTGTGTATGCAGTCGCGTTAAATCTTGGGGTCAGCTATCCCACCCTTTGAGGTGCCTCCAACGAGAAAATTAGTCACTGCTATCGACCTTGGATACTCTAGAAACAACCAAAAAAAAAAATATGTAGGTGTACATCTATTTGACATTTAGCTACATATAGATTTAGTGATGATTTTGAATGAGATTTAACAACATATGTTATATGTCATTAGAGCTTATATCCATTCTTTTTAACAATATACTAATATATATTGTATTTATTGTGTGAGTAAAAATAATTTTTAATAATACATATTGTATCCCTATAAGGTATGTCTCACTATATGATAATTTTCTTGTAGTGTTAGTTTCACACGTTCTCACATAAATAATTTTTTGAAAATCATCCTCAAGAAACAATATGTTCTAGAAATGTTATTTTTTATATAACAAACTAAATCTGTAAAAACTAACATTTTTTATCTCAAATTTTTAGAAAAGTTAAACTTTTTCATGTATCAAATGTCTAAACTACACAAATACTAAACTTATGTTTTTATATGTAAAAATTATTAATTAGTATCGGTCATTATTAACACAAAATTAAAAAAAAAAATAAGTATTTTAAATAATGTCGACCAAATCAATAAAAAAATATTTATATAAAATAACAATAATTTTGAAAAACCAACTTAAGCATATTGACCAAGCCGATGCAAATGTATATATCTTTTAAATGTCTTTCATGATATTAAAAATATATATATACTATTAAACATGGCTAAGCCCTAGAAAATACAAAATTAAAATATATTTTCTTTTAAATAGCGTTGGCCAAGCCAATACAAAATATAAAAATTATTAAAATAAAACTTCAGCGCTAGCTATGCTGACGTAAATGCAAATATCTTATAAACGGATTAAAATCTTTTGTTTCCAACTCCTGTCCCCAAACTCTGTTCTTCCAAGCATAAAATGTCATCTAGATTACTACATCATTATTTTTATTTTTTATTTTTATTTTTAAAAAATGTAACTGATTCTGTTACGTTTTTTCTCTCACGCCATCTCGCCGCAATGTTCTTCGTAAAAAATGCTTTATTTTTATCAAAATTACTAGCATGCCACTGCGGATGAAAATATAGCTTGATTTTATGGGTAGCATAGCGTTTGAGTTCTACCCAACCAAAAAGTGCCAAAAAAGAAAAAGAAAAGAAAAGAAAACAATTCAAGGGAAAGGAATAAACTTTGCCACGTACACTACATGATGAAAATCTGAGATACTGTTATATTAACAAAATTTTTATTTTGTTAAATAGTTATATTTTTTTCAGATATATTTTATTTCTAAGAAAATATCTATTTTTATTTTATAATTTCAGGAATACAATTCACATAAATATTATAAATAGGAAAATCATTTTTAGATATATTTTTAAAAAAGTTATTATATTTAAATATTTTTAAATTCAAAATAATTTAAATAAAAATAAAGGGCCTAAAAGAATATGTAATAGATATTGTTCATCGTCATATTTCTAAGAAATAAAAAATAATTTTCCTATTTATAATAATTTTTTTCCTACCATTCTTTTTTATATTGATATTCTAATAACTTACACATTGATTACAAGATCTAATATTGTGCAAGTTAGTGAGACCAAAGCCAACAAGTTTTTAATTTATTGATTACACCAATGGATCCTCTACCAAACACAAAGCTTCACCAAGACTACAAACCCACAAGGATGCATCAGTGAATGTATTAGATTCTGAATTTCAACTATATGTGATTGTTGAAGACTAAAATACATTTTAACTACTTAATTGTAAGCATCAAATATGAGTTAGTAAAATTGTATTGATGTATTATAAATTCATTAATAATATATAATAAAAAAAAGATCAGAGGTTATTTTATTGCTATAATTTTTATTTTGCATTAACAATAACATCAAATGAATTTCTTGTTTGATCATAATAAGATTATCTAATAAAGTGAGAAATTTTATTTCTACGATACAAGGCCGAGAAAAATATCAAAATTGCAATAATGTATTTGCAAAGTTTGAAAAATACATAAAACCAAAATTTTAAACTAGAATCATTGAAACATCTTGATGTTTATAAAAACTCTCTATGACCAAATTGCTTCACAGATCATTTTGTCCTTCTTTGCTTTGAGAATTTGTAACATCATTTGTTCCATGTTCAATGCTAGATAGTTGTGCCTGTACATATACATATACCCCATTTTACAAACGTAATTTAAAAGAAATATTAAACTAACAAAAATATAAGGAATTATAATTTATCACCTATAACAACTCTGTCATGCTCATGTTGCTACTTGACTCCATGAATGTATTGTTGGCAACATATGTGGGAAACTAAATAATACAATTTTAATAAAAATTACAAATTATCATATAAATTATATATTAGCATGATAAATAAAAAGTAAAATAAATTAAAGAATACCTGACTAAATTGAGATGAAGGCAATTCATTATCTAAGTTCTTCATGGAAGGTTCATCTTGTTACATAGTTTTCTTCTTTTTTCTTCTTTCAATAATACCTTTTGGCCTAGTAGATGATCCTCGAAATCCTTCTTTGGTCTTTATTCCTTTCACATTATCCTTATTCCCACTACACCAACCTTTTTCAATATTTGTATGTGAACCATCACTAGTACTAGCTTCCTTGTCTCTACCTTCAAGACAGACATCTATATCATTCATGGCCTTGGTCAAGTAACTAATAGCTATATTATATGTTTCTTTAGTTATCACTCCTTTAGTTGCTAACTGAACTTGCATCCTACATATTTCTTTATAGCGCATACCTATTTTTTCCTTAAGGGTCCTCATGGATTATAGAATGGTTAGTTGGTATTCCATTTCCCATTTTTGCATGTTTTGTCGATCTCTTTAATACATACATAGTAGGAATTTTCATAACATTTCTTGAAGAGAGAACTTTGAGAGCATGTGAGCATAAAATCCCTGCAAACTCATACCTTTTACAACTACACTTCATTGAACCAATAGAGGAGTCATAATGGATAGTATGTTGAAATAACTTCTTATATGAGGTAACTTTATATTCAATAATTTCCCCATTTTGAGAGGAAATATACATACTACAATCATAACCACTTGATGCCTCGTGTTGTCTTAAATATTGCAGGAGTATAAATTGTTGCCGCATGCCGTAGAATTTCCACATCAAATGACAGAATTAAACCTCTTTGGGTTGCTTTAAAATCTGTCTTTGATTCCTCATATCAACGATCCTCTACCATTCTCTGAAAATGATGAAAAAATCTTAGTAAATCATGTTGATAACTCACATATTTTTTAATCACATTATTCATACTCTGATTTTGTTGTGTGGTAGTCATGTCTGCACAAAAGTTCTCTCGACCATAAACTAATGCCCATTTCTCCTTTAAAGCAAAAGTCTGTTTCAACCAACTATTGTCTTTAAGATCATATTTCTCAAGCATATTGTTCCAAGCTATTATAAACTCTTCTTCCTCTTCATATTCATAGATGCATTTATTAAAATCCTTACTGAAGTCTTGAAACTTCCCAAACACTATACTCAATTTCTTTAATGCATTTTGATACAAATGCCAAATATAGAGGCGGTGGCATGTTTCTGGCCATACCAAAGCTAATTCCTTTGCCATTGCTGCATCTTGGTCAGTAAGCATAGTCTTTGGTTTCTTTTCTGACATAGCTTTAGCAAAAGTATTGAACAACCAAATAAAACTTTCAGTCGTTTCATCATATAATAATGCTACTCCAAAAATAATGGTAAGCTTATGATGATTGACTCCAACAAACATTGCAAATGGACGACCTTCTTTATTTTTTCTATAAGTAGTATCAAAACAAACGTCACCAAAATATGAATAATCAATCATCATTTTCACATCAGCCCAAAAGATCACTAGTGGAAAAAGTGGCTTTTACGTCTCCTAAATTACAAAGTAAAGAACACAGAGGCTAGCTGCAGCTGCATGATGATAAAATCACCCAACGCAGTGCGAAATCCCTTCTCTAAGCCAATTTCCATAACCATTGGCAGCACAAGCAGTATGCCCAACTGAACAACAGACTGAGTTGCCAAGGCCTCTTCAAGGGCTTTGCTCTGATGTATGTTTGGACTTTGAAGAATTTCTCTCTCAACTCCACTCAAAACCATATATAAACGTCCATATAAGAACACATACACAGTCAACACAGTTATCTGAAAAATTCATGACATCCAAAACAGGTGTTAGCATAAGCTCAATTTACAGGACAAAATTAGGGTCATGTGCTTTCAAATTTAGTCATCTCGGTATAGCTGCGATTGTATTGTATGTTTTACATTTCAAATACAAATATTTCACTATATGGTAATATAAAACATCCCAACTAAAAAATTAAGTTGATTTTAATTTTTCATATCTAATACCAGATTAAGCAATGTGATTTTGATAGAAGACATACATTTTGTCTATCCTCAACTTTCAAAAGTCAACACGATGCTGAATGAGCCTGAATTAAACTTAAGTGGAAACCATCAATTTGGTCTTTCAAAGTTACATGCATCACTGTATTATCCAAAAAATGAGACAAGTTATTTTTTAAAAGCGTTATGTAAGAAGTTGTTTCTATATTGGAAGACACCAGTAACACAAAGTACATTCCAATAATATGCTATTCATAAAATCCTTAACCAATCAAGATAAGATCCCCAAAACGAGATTTGATTATTTACCATGCTACTGAAGTAGAAACCAACTGTTGTAAAGTAGAACGACAACATTCTGAAGAAGTCAAATCGTCGTCCAAGTCGATAAACATCACGGCTAAGTGATTGTTCTCCATTTCCATTTGCAACCTTAGCCTCGAAGAGTGATATCTGATTCATGCCCACATCACGCCCTTTACCTACTTGTATATATTCATGATGTGTGATAAATCCTTGACGGAGAGTTGAATTGAACCCTATGGATGTTAACAACAATTAGTAAAAAATTCCTACCCACATAAATCTGCAATGTAGATTTAAGTTGAACTCGATGGATATTAAGCACATGCAGTAGAAAATTTAGATATTTCAGAGAGCATTTTATATTAGTACCTGCAAATATATCCTCACTTAAGTTTATAACTTTTGATGCTTTGCTTATGCCACCTCTTGTTATGTGGAAGATTCTGTCAAATATATCAGGATGACCATAATGAAACCGGACCCTGCAAATTCAGGAATATAGTTTACTTAACAGAAGAAAAAGGTTTAGTGAATAGATAATAAAGTAAGACATATCCTATTCTTGTATTAAATTCAGTTGCAGCACTAAGTAGTGAAGACTCTATGCTTTCTTCATATTTTCAACCTGAACAGATTTCAGGTGTGAAGCAAGTAGATATCTATTAAATAGAACCCTTTCTTGTACATTTACTAACATGTACAGGTAACTTAAAGTTCAATTTTATTTGGATGACCAAATGAAAGAAACAGAATAGAAAATAAGGTTAAAAAAAAGTGAAAATGCATGAAAACAATATGAAACAAGGGATTTATAAAAGAACAAAACTTAGATACTCCCAAGTGTTGTTGGTACTTTTCTTAAATCAAATTGAAGTTTTAGCTCGATAATTTGCTTATTAGAGGCATGCATTAAATAATTATGCACATTACCAACGTGAAACTCCAATTTTTATTGCAGAATAAAACCAATAGTACCTAAGGAACCGTAGCTAACAAAACCAACAAAACCAATTTTTATAATAATACTTACATGCTGTATCACAGGACAAATAAATTGGAACTAACCTTAAAGGATTTGCTAAAATTCGCTGGCCAATGGTCACAAAGCTGGTCTCCTGGTTTGACATAAACCAAGCAAGTGAAGAAACACTGCAGAATAATAAACACATGAGCATAGATAACTTGTACCAATTCAAGTTTGATGATAAAAGTAAATATTTTCTTAGTCATGAAACAATTTATTCAAATATAATTTAATACTACATATTGTCGCAAGGCCAACCTTCCAGTAAATATATGCTCCCTTATGCCCAATATGGTGGGTTTCCGTTGCCCACTATGTCCTCTCCGGAATTCTTCCAATACATTTCTCATTTTGAAAGCTTCTTCATAATAATTATCCTTAACCAAAAAAAAAACTATAAAATTAGAAGCATTGACTTATACAGAGAGTACTACTTAATTCATATCAAATTGAAGTCCAAGGGAAATATACCTGATTCATGTCTATGGTCTGCAAGGCTTCTCCACGAGTAAATATTATGGCATGATTTTGGTTTTCAGGTTTCCCTTCACCAATTTCTGTTGGAGGACCAGGTAGTTTGATGCGATATATTTCCTATTAAAGTAATGCAATATAGAATAATTTGAATTAAAATTTAGGAGTGTTCAAAACCCAAAACCAACTCAACATGAATTGAGCAACCCTTGCACAATATCAAAATATTTCATTATATAGTTAGGCACAACACTAATAAGGAATAGAAAACCCCTTTTACAGGACAAAATTAGGGTCATGTGCTTTCAAATTTAGTCATCTCGGTATAGCTGCGATTGTATTGTATGTTTTACATTTCAAATACAAATATTTCACTATATGGTAATATAAAACATCCCAACTAAAAAATTAAGTTGATTTTAATTTTTCATATCTAATACCAGATTAAGCAATGTGATTTTGATAGAAGACATACATTTTGTCTATCCTCAACTTTCAAAAGTCAACACGATGCTGAATGAGCCTGAATTAAACTTAAGTGGAAACCATCAATTTGGTCTTTCAAAGTTACATGCATCACTGTATTATCCAAAAAATGAGACAAGTTATTTTTTAAAAGCGTTATGTAAGAAGTTGTTTCTATATTGGAAGACACCAGTAACACAAAGTACATTCCAATAATATGCTATTCATAAAATCCTTAACCAATCAAGATAAGATCCCCAAAACGAGATTTGATTATTTACCATGCTACTGAAGTAGAAACCAACTGTTGTAAAGTAGAACGACAACATTCTGAAGAAGTCAAATCGTCGTCCAAGTCGATAAACATCACGGCTAAGTGATTGTTCTCCATTTCCATTTGCAACCTTAGCCTCGAAGAGTGATATCTGATTCATGCCCACATCACGCCCTTTACCTAATTTGGTATTTTGGACTATATTTATACGCAGGTTTTGGGTATATCAAAGATTTATAAACGTTTTAAAAAAAAACAGCCACAATTTACATCGGACATGGCGTTGCCGACGTAAATTTACGTCGAGCCTTGCAATGGCCGACGTAAACTTTAGCAAAAGTATTGAACAACCAAATAAAACTTTCTGTCGTTTCATCATATAATAATGCTGCTCCAAAAATAATGGTAAGTTTATGATGATTGACTCCAACAAACATTGCAAATGGACGACCTTCTTTATTTTTTCTATAAGTAGTATCAAAACAAACAACGTCACCAAAATATGAATAATCAATCATCATCTTCACATCAGCCCAAAAGATATTAGTAATTAAGTCATCCTCATCGACTTGTATTGCATAAAAGAAATTAGAATCTTCTAATTGCATTTTTTTCAAGTACTCTAGCACACCACCTATATCTCCTGACTTCATTTGCATTGTTCTCTTGGAATGTAAATAATTTCTATAGTCTTCGGGAATGAATCCAAGATTTTCACGACCACCAGCTCACCTAGCCATTAACTCACAACTTGCTTTTGGAGTAATTCTAGAATCATCAGCTAAATGAACCTCGGCTACTTAAGGAATAGTCATTTTCCTTTGAGATCTAAGAAAATGTCTCTTACTAGGAGTTGTAGTCTCATGTGCTTGCTCAGCAATAAATTCAGTTACACGATACTTTCCCGTTAAACGACTATTAACTTTCATCTTTGCCAAACAACCAAATCTTGATTGTGGTCGAGGATTTTTGACATTATCTTCTCGCTTATCTTTCCCACGATATCCTTCACATGAACAACAAAATACTCTATTGACTATCTTCCCATATTTATCTTTATGCCCTTTGCTAATCCTCACACTGAAACCTACTCTATAAGCATAATCATTGTAAAAATTATATGTTGCATCTTCAGTCTCAAACTTCATCCCAACTTTTGGTACAAATTGACTAGGAATTGTAACATGTATCATATCAAAAAAATTTCGTTCAATTTCATCCACATTATCAATGCCCATTTCTTGATGTTCTTCTTCAGCCATAACACAATGCTCTAAACAAGTGACCAAGAATTAGATACATATGAAATAAAGAATGAACTTGTGTAATAATCCAACAAAATTAGAGTCAAACAAAATGAAACAAACACGATGTTTAAAGAGATCAAACAAATCTTAAATCAAGAAGAAAACCACAAATTATGTAATGTAAAACAGAGAAAAATAATAGAAGTAGAAGAAACTAAAAGGTAATAGAAACATGAGAATGACTTACGTGAGACCCTGTTAATAAAGTCTTTAACGCATTTTTATATCTGTTTGTCAAAAGAGAGACAAAGCAACAAGAGTGATGAGTGGAGGCACAAGTGTTATTGAAGAGCTCGAAAATAGGGGATTGGATGTTAGCACCAGGCTAATGATAATGGAGGGCACACACAACAAGTAAAATAATCAATAATAGAAAGGAACGTTACGTGAAAAAGGAATAAACAAAAAGATGTTATATTTGAAAAAAAACATTATATAACTATTTAACAAAATATTTAAATATAATAATTTTTAAAAATATATATATATCTAAAAATCATTTTCCTATTATATTTATGTGAATCGTATTCCTGAAATTACAAAATAAAAATAGATATTTTCATAGAAATAAATATATTTGAAAAAAAAATTATATAACTATTTAACAAAATAATAATTTTGTTAATATAACAGTATCAGATCTTCATCATGTAGTGTATGTGGCAAAGTTTATTCCTTTTCCTTAAATTATTTTTGTAACATATCAAGCAGTGTTTAAAAAACCGGACAGAACCGGCCGGTCGGACCGGTTGGACCGGGAACCGGTGGTCCAGCCGGTCCGAACTTTAAGTTGGATCGGTTATGCAGTCGACCCGTTTCAAACCGGATTGAACCGGTCAATTTTCCGGTTCAACCGGTGAACCGATGGGTCAAACCGATTCAACCACTTTTTATTTATTTATTTTTTATTTTTTAAGGGACCATAAACCACAAAAATAATAATGAAAATTGAATCTTTTAATAGAAGAACAAAGATTCTTATTAAATATAACAATAACTACTTGTTCTAATGTATTTGTTTATATAATATACAACTTAAATAACTTTTATAGTATATTATTAATTTTATATTATATATTTAATAATATAATATATATGTAAATATTACATATATTATTTTGTGATATCAATTGCAAGCATATTATATATGTACATATTATTTATATTTTTAATTTGTATTAATATACAGTTTAATATGTAATTTTTTATATATTTTTTACAAAATAAAAATAAAAATAATTTTAAATAAGATAGAAAAATTGAAATTTAAAATACGATATAAATTTATTAAAATTTATAAGTATAAAATATATTTAATATGAACATTTTTTTAATATAAATAAATAAAAACCGAGTCATGCGGTTCAACTAGTGACCCACCGGTTCAACCTTTGACCCACTGACCCAGTACCTTAACCGGTTCGATAACCGGTCCGGTTTTTAAAACTATGGTATCAAGTTATTTTAGAAGGCCCAAAAGCCCAGTATGGGTGATTCAGTAGCCCAGAATGGGCCGTTCCCAAACCGGAACGGGCCGTTCCAAACTATTGAATTGACCTATAAATCATAGTTGAGAACAGGTCGTTCTGGAGGGAGAACAGGTCGTTCCAAACCCCAAAACGGACCATTTTGGAGGGAGTACGGGCCATTCTTGATGGAGAACAGGCTGTTCTGGATGAGTCCCAAAACAGACCGTTTTGATTTCAAAACGGGTCATTTTGCATGTAATTTTTATACATGATAAAGGGGTGCAGAACGGGTCGTTCCGGATTTGGAACAGGCCGTTCTGGCCACTACTGAATGTCTATAAATAGAGTTGGGTGGTTGAGGAGAAGAGGAGGGTTTTAGAGAGAAGGACTCTGGACTAGGAAGCTTGCTTTGGGTGGATTGAAGTCCTAGGTTGAGCTTCGGAAAGGGAATTCCACTTCTTGGCTATTCTGAGCCAATCTTCAGGTAAGGGAAGCTAGATTGTAAAGTTCCTGGTTCTATGTGAGTTGGGAACTCATTTGGGTACTTAGGTTGATTAGTATGAGTTGTATTATGTGATGAAAATATTGTGTGTTGCTAATATATGATTAAATATTTATTAATGATGTTGTTGGAGATGCATGTTGTAGTTAAGTTGTGAAGTTGTTTACAAGTTGTGTGTTGATCTATGATATTGTTGAAGCTAGTTGAAATTAAGTTGATAAAGTTGCTATATGTTATGTGTGAACATGTATATGTTGTGAAGTGCATGATGATAATATTGTTAAGTTGTTAGAGGAGAGTTGTATGTTGCTAAAAAGTTGTATGTTGTGCCATGTGTTGTTTAAAGTTGAAATGAGATGTTGTGTTGTTAAAATGTGTTGTTAAATAATGTTGATGAGTTGTTGTACTGATATACCATGTTGTTTAAGTTGTAAGTTGATTAAGCTGTGATGATAAGTTGTTGATCACTAGGATTAGAGGAGATGTTTTCGAAGTTGCTCATCCCATTGTGCGGATTGAGATAGTTATGGTGCTCTAAGAGCCCAATTTGTTGAAAGCCCTCCTTGGAAAGTTGTCCCTTGGAGTGGACGTTGTGTTGTGCTCCTCTAGGACTTAGTTGATCCCGAGTGTGGGCAAGGTCGAGGCACACGTGTATAAAGCGACCACGGTATAGGGTCCAGGCCGAGCTATACCGATTACAAGCGGCTAGATGTTTATTGTTGTAAAGTTGTTATGGTGTCTATTGTTGTAAAGTTGAAAACTTGGTGACATATGGTGAAGATATATGTCTTATGTTGAGATACATAGTACTAAGGTGATAAGTTGAAAGTTGTTTTAAAGTTGAATCCCTTAGTATTGTCTGGGCGACATGGAAATAGTCGATCCATGTCATGGTTGAATGACCAATTTGAGTAAGGTATCTAGTTAGAGATGTAGTCTTTGACTAGGTACTAGAGGGTGCGTGGTACTTGGAGGACAATGGGTGGTCTAACTCCATATGTGGATTGGTGATGCTAGCCAAGGCCGTGGTAGGCTCATACCCAAACCCTTCTGTCCTGACAGTAGTACTGGACCTCCGAGTCTAAGTGGCACACCTGAG